ATAGAAAGAATGTAAGTGCCCATGTTTTGCCAAGGGAAACCCGAAATATTTGTCCGATCAAAAAGTAAAATAGGAGGTGCACAATGGCACTATATATACGAGGGTTGTTCGAAAAGTTCGTGGACGATGTCAGTCTAATTTATATTACTCACTAGAAATTTAAAATAAGTACAATCTAATATGTTAAAATATTTGATTTGTTGATGTGTGAAGTTTCATTCCATTCGATTGAACAGAAATCAATTTACTTCAGTTTAAAATCAACATGTTTTGTACCTCGGAGCACACTTAACGGCAATGTATTATCAAAACATAGCGTCAAGAATTTCTAAAAAATACTATCTCTATACATTTCACAGAGTACACTGTCCATTCATTAAATCCTTTTTCCAATATTTGAAATTTTAACTTTTAAGAATTGCTCTCGTTGTATAATTTCCTTTGTTAAGGTTTTGATTGCTTTTATTACTTAACTCTGCTTTCACAGGATAAGCAACTCTGAAGCGCCCATGTCTTTTTTCGAAGTTCAAACTTCTCAAAGTTTTTGTTCAGATTTTTAAAGTTAAACCGTTTCTTCACAGATTTTCCTCATCCGATACTGAGTCTCTGTCACTGAAATACTGCCTGTAGTATTTGTACACACATGCAAAGCTCACTTGTGACATATCTCTCGATTCATCCAACTTTATTAGTGTTTATTCAGGATTTTTCCGAAGAAAAACACAAAATTGCATCGCCATCTGCTGCTCCGTGACGTTCTAAAACGTCATCGTTTTTGTCGTTTTCAATAAGGACTACTTATCTTCGCAAGTCGATTGCTTTTCAACAAAGCAAAATGTAAAGTCATATTTTTTACACGAATCGATCTAACAATTCGTAATTTGAATTTCTAGGCTGTTTTTCGTTTTTGCTCCATTTTTCAGAGAATATGACTTCAGACATTATTAAGTGTTTCGTTTGTAACTTACTAAATTTTGACATGCTCCGCTATCCGATTTTTGCATTTTTAAAATCTAGATAAGTTTTAAGTAAATAGTAATATTTTGAAAAAATTAATACAAATCATTTGGATTTATTGTTAAAATATTTCTACCGAATTTGGATAACATATGTCCTCAAATAAAAAAAGATGTGACAGTTGTCCACGAACTTTTCGAACAACCCTCGTATAACAAAGATTCTGTGAGAGTTTCATTAAATTTCAATCAGCGATATAAGAGGAGTTACAGATAAGAGATGGGTAACCCAAAGCGTAATGGGCGGATGGACACCCCTATATACCCCCTTCTTTTCAAGCGGGGGATATAAAAGGTTTCGACTTCAGAACAGAAAGACAATAGTAATCAAATTAAAATTGAAGCATTTCCATGTTTGATTGTACTTTTTATCCTTAGTGCTAGAGCCTTCATAATATTATAGTATATATGGGGTCATTTTTTCCTTGTTTACACAGAGGAACAAAGAAAAAAAACACAAGAAACAGCAGCGCTAAGGTGACTCATTAGAACATTGACGCCAGAGTGCCCCTTGTTCCTTATTATACCCCCCCCCCCGCTTGAAAAGCAGGGGGTATATATTGATGAGGGTGTCTGTCTGTCTGTCTGTACACCCGTCCGCCCGCGTCTGTTACGCTTTGTGTTATCCTAACTTTTACCCCAACTCCTTTTATACCACTAAATGAAATTTAAAATACATGTAGATGTATTAAATGGGTAAAATAATTTAATCACAATCGCTGAAATTCTATTTCATTTTCTGTAGAGACATCTACAGCGTAAGCAAAGTCTAATGATAATATTAAAGGTTTAAATAATTATTCCATACTGAAACCAATTCTGTAACAGCTTGTTGCAAAATATAATACACTAAAATTCTTTTAATTATTCATTTTATATACATTTTTGATTAGAATTTCAATGTACATGTATCAATAAGGCTTGTGAAAATCGGTGCATTTCCTCCTTACTTTGGCCAGGTGCCCTTAAAGTCCAACTGAAATGCAGTTTGAGGAAAAACATAATTTTTGAAAATCAAAAAGTTAATGCACTTGCTCCTTTTTCCAGAGATTTGACGTGGGAAAAACATAAGATTTAATTTTTTTTAAAAATTTAAATATTTTCCTTGCATTAATTCAGTGACAATGTCAATATCATATTTAAATTATCCTTTAGGTTGAACAAATTAAACATATGTTAATAAAGACTCATGAACTGTACCAGAATCAACCACAAGAAAAGGTAAAATGTTACACAGATAAAATAACTTAAAAATAATAAAACCTTTTCCCTCCAAAAATCCCCAATGTCATGTACTTTTGTTAATTTTTAGTAAGAGGTAATGGAAACAGATATTAACAGGACCCTTGAACACAAGGGAATATATTCATGTATAACCTGCTAAAGCCTTTTTGATTTGAATTCAAAAGAACACACCAACAACCTACACCCTTGTAGAGGCAATGAAATTCATTTTAGAAAGGTCCTCGAAAATTGTAAGACTTGTTTTAACTATTTCACTATTAAAACATTTACAATATAAGGACGAAATGAAATTTACATTGTCACTGATTGAATTAATGCAAGGAAAACATCTGCGTTTAAAAAAAAAATTAAAATATGTATGTTACCATGTTAAATATTAGGAAAAGTAGTAAGTGTATACATTTGTTGTTTTCATGAAATGTCTTTTTATCTCAAACTGCATTGCAGATGAACTTGAGGGGCTCAGCCACCTGACTATATACAGGAGAACCGAGAGTCAATTATCCTTTTTCAATTCCATAACCCCTGCAATGGTTCGGTGTTGCTGGTGGGTACATTTGGAGAAAACATTCCTTCAACATCAATCTCATATTTCAATTATCCTTAAGGTTGAACAAATTAAATAAATATATGTCAATAAAGACCAATGAAGTATACCAGAATTAAGCACAAGAAAAAAATAAAAGTACAAAAATAAATTTCTTAAATTATCAAAACCCTCTTCTACCAATATTGAAATGTTCATTCGTTCCTAAAAGATATGCTTTATGAAAATAATGTCATTTTGATTTTTTTGTAAAAAATAATGGCAACAAATATTAAAAGGACCCTTGAACACCAGCAGAATTGAACTGCATGACGTGTAACCTACTTAAATACCAAAGAACTCATCAACAATCTTAACCCTTGTGGAGGTAATAAATACATGTTTGAAAGGCTCTTAAAAAATGTAAGAAATTTTACTATTTCTTACAAACAAAACATTTAAGGACGCTATGACAGTTTTCTAATCTAAAACTAATCCAAAAGCACCCAACAACAATATAACCTATTGCGGTTGGTTTGGAACAAATGTTAGTAAGGGCACTTCAAAATCGTACAAAAAATCAACCGCATATTACAGTTTAATATTTTAGCCTATTAAAACATTGTTCTTTCTTTCTCCTAATGTACCCATCAACAACATGAACCCGTGCGGTGGTTAGGATAATTGACTCCCGGGTAATCCAGCTTGTATTCGTAGGCTTGTGTATCTAACGTATTCTCATGACAAGGCAGAATACATAAGCTGCTTACACTTGTATGTAGGGAAAGTTACTCTAGTGGAAAATAATTGTAAGGAGAGCGTTTAGCGTGGGTTGTGTCTGTTTAGAAAACGGGTGATCTATTTGTACGTATTGGACCGGGCAATTGGTGCTGAATCTTTCTTTTCGTGTCAAAGAAAATTGTAAACTCAAGGAACCTCTTCAAGTGTATATAATCACCATGGTAACTGTATTTAGAGAACAAGTCGGTAAAATTTGTTCTTCGCCAGTTTTTTTGCAATTTTAAAAGATAATGAAAACCAAAAAATAAAATAACCAATTAACGATCCTATTCAAGAAAACAATACTTTCTTACGATGAAACAACAAGAATTCCGCACCTTGGCAGTTTGGCTAAGTGCAGTGCATCAGTTGTTGTCTATGTAAATATTTTTATGACATAACAATAGAAAACAACAAAGGGTTTTTTTGTTTTCTTTTAAATTGTTGTTTGGTCTAATTTTCTACATTGATGATGAAGTATGGCGCTAATATTTCTTTCACTTACTGAAATTATATAAATCAAAGCAGGGCGTTCCTGAAGGCAAATATATCACATGGATATTTCAGAGTGTGTACTAAAAATGGAAAAGTAAGACGATTTTGAGAATATCATATAACAATAACCAAGATCAGTAGGTTTACAAATAAGGAATTATATAAGAATCGTCCGTTTAAAGCGCTTATTTTCGTCTTTATATGTACGTTATACTTACTTTGCAACCACACCTTACAATATTAAATCAAAACCACGAACCAATATATTCATATTCTTACGAAACAGTGTTCTTAGGAAAACATTAAACTTTTAACCCGCGCAACCTCATTTACTGAGTTACCTACTATACAGTTACATGTTTATGTGAATTAATTATGGCAATGTATCGTATATACTTCTATAGGGTCACCCTTCGTTTTTGGTATAGGTTGACAAAGGAAAGCATAATTTAGCCTTTGCAAAAACATATTTCAGGTGAAGGTCAGAATTGGTTTTAATTTCCGCCACATTGTGAATTTTTAATCACTGAACCTTTGTACCATTACCTTACTCCTTAATTAATTATCTTCACTAAGGTGCAGATGCTGAGATGTGTTCCCATTTTGCACACATTTAATAAAAAAATATAGAACAATAGGTGTAGATTATATTTTCATTAAAAAATTGTCTGCATTCTGCTATCTGGATTAACTTGTAGTTTCAACAATATATTGATTGCAAAAATACCCGAGAAAGCGATGAGAAAATGAATAAATAAAAATTGAAAAGTTTTGCTGTAAAAAGAGTTTCTAACACATGAATTAATCAACTGAAAAATGGATTATTTTAATTCTAATTGTTTTTAAAATTTGATGATTTTATTTTTCATTTTTCAACTGTGTGCAAAACGGGAACAATCATGACCATAATACGAAAATCAATAAAGGAAAAGTAAATGTAAATTTTAAGCATTTTAATGAAAAAATATTTGAACGATTTGAAAACACAATAAAATGAAATGATGAACACACAAGGAATGGAATTTGACTAGAATAAAAGAACATTGTGAGATAACAGTTAGTTTGTGCCCAACAGTCTTCGCACAAGGTTCACAGGCGATCGCCTTCGTTTCGTCTTTTTGCCGATCTTAGCCACGTGATTGAAAAGTTCTGCGAAACTGGACGGAAAGGCTGAGCTGCACTCCATGAAATAGTCTGCACCAATTTGGCGGGAAAAATCAGCGCCCTCTGTTTTACTGACGGGAGGGTCTTGATCGAGGCACACAGAGTCACGAATGTCTGTTTGTGTTCCCACCACTAAAAGTTTGATTTTTTTGCCAAGGAATTTCCTGATTTCTGGAATCCATTTGTCTCTGATGTTCAGAAGTGAACTCCTGTCTATGACACTATAACACAGAATAAAAACATTGCTGTCCTTGTATGCAAATTCTCTGATTGCAAAATGTTCTTCTTCACTTGAACAGTCAAATAAGTTAATTGTGATATCTTCTCCGTCTAATTTGGTTGTCCCTGCAATAAAAGAAGCAATATATTAATTTTGCAAACAGTCAGGCATACTAGTATTTTAAACATAGAGTACATATTTTTGTGCATTTTCCCCGCTTTAAAATATTACAAGAACATTTCAAATTTATATATATGAAAAAAAATCTTCATTTTAATTTGAAATTAATTTTTTTTCTTTAAAAATAAAATAATGAAAACATCCAAAAATGACAATTACCTGCGATATTGTCAAAAATCGTCGACTCGTAATTATTATTCTGCCTATCTAAGTCGGCCTCGCTTTCCCCTAGGCCTCGACTAATAGTAGACTTCCCCACTCGCTTGTCCCCCACAATCGTACACTGTACACAACTCATCTCATTAGAAACGACCATCTTCCTCTGTAACTCAGCGTCAACTGATTCACAACCGACCAGCTTCTGGGGTTTAAATAGACAGGCACCTGCTGCACTCGTCAATAACACGAACTCAGTAGGATAGTGATCGGAAGATCGCACCGAGTCGATATCGTGACCCTCTCCGGTGGTGATCAATGCGGTGTCTGTAAATCTCAGTTTTGTTTTTTAAGCTATCGAACTGACACCTCTGCAAGATTTAGCTTCTTTTTCTTTATTGTATGTAGGACATATTGTGTATCACTTAAAATAATTTGTTTGTCTTGTTAAGCTATTTACTCTCAATAACTTAACAAGCTGTCGGTCTACCCAGTGGATTAACCACGGTATATGGGTTTTGTGTGGTGTGTATACGTACATGTATTTATTTTGAGGGTATGACGATACGATTTTTTTTTATGTCATTGTAGTTGTAGTATTCGTAGGCAGTGCAGTTGTATTATTTTTAGGATAGAACATGAACCATTCATTGTAAAGACGTAAGCAAAACAGCATGGTTTGTAACATAAAATACATGTATGTGTTTTGTATGCTTGCAATGGTGCTTCAGTTTTAGAAATTTAATCCTTTGCTCACTAGTTATTGTTTTCATTTTTTACAGAAAGCAGACAGGGACAACTAACATTAATATCATTCCATAAACAATATTTTTGACTGCCGCCAGTAAAACGTACCCAAGGAAAATTCAACAGTCATATACAAATATGTTAAATCTAATGAAAATAAAAACTCGTCGTCTATGAGAGCTATACAAACGTTTGTGTAGTTATTAAGTTGTAGTCAGCTGTACGACTTCAGCAGTAACATCGTCTAGGGTTTTGTTTATTTGTACCGGGTAGCATTTTAATTAACACTTAAGGGCTCATGGCGAACTTCTCAACAGAACAAACCCAAGACTCCAAAAAACAACAGAAAATGACATCGCGGATTCAGATATTGAACTTAGAATTTGGGTCACCGAGTGTGACCTTTCAATAAATAATTTGCAATGCTTGTACAAGGACTATCCGGCAGGATCGTGTGGGCTGATACTATTTCTTAATAACCCGGGGTACGTATATTATTGTAATCAGCAATAAAAATGCAGAAACTGAGATATATCATCATATACTTCTGCATTTCATTCATTTTAAAGATTACAATGCGTGGTTTTTGCTTCTAGCATTGTAAAATGTAAGTGAACAACTTTTGATGAACATAATTACAAAAGAGAACCTTGTAACATATTCATTAAATAACTATTATGGTGTATATTATCAAATTAAATACAGGATGCCTTAACCTACATATTGATACAGTTAACCTAGATTGCTCAAACTGTGAGCAATCTAGGTTAAATGTACCAAAATTGAACCTTTCTTACACAGCAAATTTTGAGTTCAGCAGTCAATACTGAAATCGAAATACGAGTGTTCTTCTTACGTGTTCTTGCAAACTTTCAACTAACATTAGAACTAAAAGAACAATTGTCTTTGAAGAGAGGGAGAAGTTTCTGTACTAGGAAATGGGTAATAGTGAGTTAATCTGTAAATTTTGGGTCAGTGAGGGTGTTTCAAGTTTTTTTTCTCTCTTCAAACCTGTTGACAGATATTGATTACTAAGGCTGCCTGGTACGAAGTGCTACCATCGAGATAATCTGATTTTAACTGGAAAAGTACTCACATTATAGACTTGTACCGGAAATAGGCAACTGAATTATTAATATGTGTAATTAATGCAACCGATAACTAAATTTAAACAGTTTCATCTGCCTAATAAAAATCGTTTAAGAAAGATTAGCAGTGAATTTACAAAAGCTATAAAAAGTACGAAGAAATAAAACCTGTTTAACATTATTCCCCTCCTCACTGGCTTCTTACAAAGAGGGCTGATTTGTAATGTTAAATTAATTAATAGGATATGCACAGCAAAATAAAGATTATCGCAGAGAAAATATGCAGACTAATTACTAGAGTATCCTTAAAATCGAACGCACAGGTTTCTGTAATGGGGAAAACTTTCATTACAGTGCCTTTGTTAAGAATAAAATATGCAACTGTATTGAAACATGTTAAATATTTTCTAATTTCTTAAGACGGTTTGCTTCACTGAAAAATTGTTGTTATATTCATGTATTTAAAAATCAAATCTTCTTCTGACTCTTTGAATTAAAAGAGACTAGTATACTTTTTTGACACTCTTCCTTATACTCAGTACTTTTGAACAACATGACTTTTATAAAATATAATAAAATGTAATAATTAAATTTACAGGTAAATTGTAATATAACAGAAATACTTGCATTTTCTCAATCTTGATCAGAGGCACACTGCGGGTTTGCTCTGCTCCAGGTTTTTTTTTATTCAAAGAGCTTTTGAGCTTGACTTCTGTTCGTTAGCTTCATATTTTATCATTAAAATTGTAGAATTTTTGGCAATGACATAGAAAAATGTAACTATATTAACTTGATTTTTATTTTTTATTTTTTTTTTTTATTTATTTTTTTTTTTTTTATTATTATTTTTTTTTTTTTGCTTTAATGAAGTTTGAATTTCTAGATTATGGTAAATTACAAAACGTACGAAACTTAAAGAGATTATAAATATATTTTTTTCTAATGGCTTTGTTTTTAATCAATTTAATATATGCACTGGAAATACTTCAGCAGGTATCTTTTAAAGTATTTGCTACTAACGGATAAAAATTCATTATTAATGTAACTTTTCTAAAACAACCATTTAACACAGTGATTCTACCTAACTAGCTATATAGTAACTGCAATTACAATTTTCCAAATATACTCTGCCTCACTTTTACATACATCATATTATTAATGATAATCATTAAAAAATCTAATTAATTTTGTAAATTTTCTTTTAAACGCCTTTAACTTGAAATATATATTTAAAAAAAATCGTACAGTATTCAAGCCTAAACGTCCATAAAACAATAAAAACCTGGAGCAGAGCAAACACGGACCTCCGAAACATCAGAGGTGGCATTTTAAGCCATGGAGGACTGAGCATTCCCTGTCGAGGATGTGTTAACCACCTTATCTTTCGGAAACATTATTCTATTTTTTTTTTTATTGAACAAGAATTCCATTTAAAAATTAATATTTTTGTGGTGTAAGATGGAAGTAGAACACATTACAATGACTATCTTAACATTTTGATTTTATCACAGTTACATTATTTTAAGAATTTTGAAAAAAAGACATTTTTTGCCATTACATTGATAAAATTTACCAATATCGAACAAGACACCGATTTGAAGTGTTGAACTAATGGGATTTTTATAAAAACATGTATAATCTTCACAGTTTAAGTAGATATATCAATCTGCGTACATATTCAACGTACCGTATAAACTTATTACAAAACCTGAAAAGGTGCCATATCTCCCGCAGAAATCACGTGTTAATTTTTTTTCTTTTTCTTCTTTTTTTGAATGAAAGGTCACGCTCTATTTTTGTCTTCTCGCCAGAGATATATCTAGTGATAAGAGGAAAATATCTTTTTAGAGTAAATTCTTTTGGTTCTGGAGTATTTTTGGAATACTTGATCACTGAATGAAAAAATTATCAAAGAATTCCCCGATAAAAGTGCCTGATATATTTAGGAATAGAATAATATTTTATTGGAATAAATGTCATTTAAAACATTTGCACTTTGAAGTTATGAGAGTACATGTAAATAAAACTAAAAAATACGTTTAAGAATTTTAAAAGTCAATTTCTCCAGTACTTATCATAATTATTTCCAACAGTTTTTATACTAACCAATGCTAATATTAAACAAGTCTGTAATGAAATTTTCAATCTTGGCTATAATCAGTTTTGTGGAATGAAATATATCGAGATTTCAAAATTAAAGCAATAAAGTAATGAAATAAAATAGTAAAATACATATATATATATCGATTAAAACTCTTTTTTTGGTAAAGTGTGTTATCTTCGAAATCATTTATTTCCTTTTTTTCCCTGAATAAGTATAAACTGATAAAATTTAAAAAAATATTTTAAGTGTAAATGCTTTTGGTTTTTGGAGTAGGTTTGGAATATCTGATCTTATCCTAACAAAATTATAACGAATATCATTGTATTTCCAGATAAATGTTAACTTTTATTTCAATATAGAACAACGCTGTAAAACATTATTTCTATATAACCACAACTTGATAAAAAAAAATTATATTAGAGACAGAGATAAGAGAAGCTTTGCTTTATTGAATTTGAAGCAATATCAAAACCGTAAAGAGACGCCAAAACTGGATCTATGGTCGCGTTTGTGGTCTCTTAATTAAACATAATTATACCTATATACGTGTAGACATGACGGACTGCCTTGGCGTTCATGTTTTTAGAGATAACAGTGATTTTGCAGATACGTTGAATAATTGAATAAGAAAATCATGATGATATGCATTTTGCATGATCCAATGTCTATATTAAAAAAACTACTGTGGAAAACAAATTAGATAGAAAATCTAAAATCATTTAGAAGTTCGGATCCACTTTACCGTTTTGTTAAATATCTAACAAATCAGCTAGTTTAGTATATTTAATTTAATAAGACATAGGTAGAAATTCATATTTTTTTTTATTTTCACAAGCATATACGTTGTAAATATTTGATGTATACATGTATACCATAAACTTAAACAAGGAAAAACAAAAAAGATTTATTCATTATTAAATTTGAATAATCAGTAAGTTACTTGCGTTTAAAACGCATTTTCACTCGATTTCAACTTCTAATCGACATTGCAAAGATCTGATTCTCTCTGCAATTATACAATATTCAGAATGAATGTGCTTGCTTGTTCGAAGTAAACAAGAATGGTGGTTTGACCAATCTTATGTCTACCATCGTCTCACATTTTTCCAGAGGCAAAACGTACCCTCTTTACCGAAGACTTCACGTAAGCTATATCTTATAGACTTCTTACTTGTTTATAGGAATAACAACATATATCAAATATATATCCGGTAAATTCTTTACATCATATA